AAAACCACTAAATATGAGGCCAGAAGCCTTTTTCTAGTTGCTAAAAGCTTTAGGGAAAATACATTTCTAATATTTGACTTACTGGGGCTGCTCTGCTGGAAAAAAGGATAAGATATTAAGTATTAAAGATGACCAGATGGTAGATACCGAAGCCACTAAAAACAAAACCAAGAAGGCTAAACTCATAAGCACAAAATGTAACTGAAAGCATTAGTAAAGCCGAACCTGTTGTGTGTGTGTGTGTGTGTGTGTGTGTGTGTGTTTAGCATTATGAATCTATTTGCAGATGACAATACCAGAGCTCCAAAGAGGCCATCTTATACATCAAGCTGTCATTAAAATATGTGGCTCTTTCCTGCAGTGTCATGTTACTAATGAAACTTTTATTTTCCAGTAATACTGGAGGTAGTAATTAGAAGGTGTATTATTCTTGGCCAACTATAATAGATACAACCACAGCCAAAGTTTAATTGCTCTGCTGCAAACAGGGCAGCAATTAGCATGCAGAGCAGGATTCGGAGCGACAGGTTATGTACTTCCAGTGAAAGTTTTTAAATAAAGGATATCCTCTATGTTGTGTTCAGAGCCTCCCCTGAATTAAGTAAATAAGCCATAAAATCCACACATGTCACTCAGAGGGACTGGAATCATGGGTAGAGCTCTCAAGGGCTAGGCAAAGAAGGGTTTGGGAGAGAATGCCAGGAGGGGAGAAGCTCATACACCCCAAGTTGCTCTCTCTTCCTCTGTTCTATCCTGTGCCTCTGCTCAGCCCAGCTTCCTCCCGCTGTGTGCTCCCCCAGCCACTAAGGCCTGGCCCTCAGGTCAGGGCTCACAAGGTCTGCCCACATGTATCTGCAGACTCCAGGCAAGCAGACGAAGGAGGGCCCCATACCATCTGTCTACATAGTTAAACGTCATAAATAAAGCTAATAAACTGTCAAATAAAATGTGTTCTGTCCTCCTACCTTTAGTCTAAGATAACAATTTTAAACGCATAAGGTTATATTTTCGTGATTATGGGCCAACTATCAAAGATGAAAAAAATAATTATTATTTTAAATGAATTAGCCTGTTGATAAGCTGGAGATTTTTGGATAAGCAATAAATAAAAATTTACACAATTTAAAAATGATATGGGTACTCCATGAGATGTTGTTAAAATCAAGGTTTTAATGCAATCAGTGCTTTATTAAGAATAATGCCAAATTATATAACTTTCCTGAGTTATTAAAATTTTTAAACTTAATTTTAACTTGGAGAAACTTTGTTCTCCTAAGACAGTAGCAACTGGAATTGTCAATCAAATTCTTAAAGTAACATTTATTTTAGAAAATGGAGAGTTGGGGTTTCTGGTCTGACAGAGCTTAGAAGCCACCATTCTATCCTAACAAGTAAAATGTGGAATAAGCTGAAAAGTAAAAATTCTTAGGTCTGTCAGAGATTACTGCTCCCAAAACTGGAGATACAGACAGGAAGATACAAAGAATTACAACTTGCTGGAACAGAAACCCATGAGTAGAAACCTCCAGAGGGACCAACAGGGGGTAGGAAAATCTGGATTGCTGGGGCTGTGTGGACAAGTCTGACAGTTAAAAACTCCGTGGGAACTCAGTCTTCAGAGACCCCCCACAGTTTGTGAGATTACCTTCCTGAAAGACCAGGAAGGAAGTCCTAGCTAATGCAATAAGACAAGAAAAGGAAATTAAAGCTATACAGCTTGGGAAGGAAGCAATAAAATTGTTCGTTTGCAGATGACATGATTATCTATGTAGAAAATCTGAAAGAATAAACTAAACAAACTCCTGGAACTTATGTGATTATAGCAAGGTTGCAGAATACAAGGTTAACATAAAAGTCCATCACTTTCCTATGTACCGGTAATGAACAAGTGGAATTTGAAATTAAAAACATAATACCAATTGGGGGGAAAAAACACCAAACAAACCCTCACAGTACCATTTACATTAACACCCTCCAAAATGAAATACTTAAGTGTAAATCTAACAAAATGTATGTAAGATCTACATGAAGAAAACTACAAAACTCTGTTGAAAGAAATCAGAGGAACTAAATAAATGGTGATATATTCATATTTTTTGTGGATAGGAAGACTCAATATTGTCAAGATGTCAGTGCTTCCCAACTTGATGTATAAACTCAATCAAAACCCCAGTTATTTTTGTGGATATCGACAAATTGAGTCTGAAGTTTATATAGAGAAGGGAAAAACCCAGAATAGCCAACACAATATTGAAAAACAAAGTTAGAGACGGATACTACCTGATTGCAAACTCACTATAAAACTGCACTAATTAAGTCACTCTATTATTGGCAAAAGAATAGACAGATCAATGGAACAGAATAGAGAGCCCAGAAATAGACCCATATAAATAAAGTCAACTCATCTTTAACAAAGTTGCAAAGGCAATATTGTCTTTTCAACAAACAGTGCTGGAACAACTGGACACCCCACACAAGAAATGAATCTGGTTACAAATCTTACACTCTTCATAAAAATTAACTCAAAATTGCTCATAGACATGAATGTAAAACATAAAACTCTTGGGAGGTAAAATAGGAGAAAATCTAGAATTTTGGGGTTTGGTGATGACTTTTTAGATACAATACCAAAGGTACAATCAACAAAAGAAATAATTGATAAGCTGGACTTCATTAAAATGTAAAACTGCTCTGCAAAAGATAATGTCAGGAAAATTAGGAGATAAACCACAGACTGAGAGAAAAATATTTGCAAAAGATATATCTGATAAAAGATTGTTATTCAAAATATACAAAGGACTCTTAAAACTCAACCATAAGAAAATAAACAATGTGACTAACAAATAAGCCAAAGACCTTAACAGACACCTCATCAAAGAAGACATATAGATGGTAAATAAGCACATGAAAGGCTGCTCACATCATATGTCATCAGGGCAATACAAATTAAAACAACGAGATACCACCACATGACTATTAGAATGGCCAAAATCTGGAACACTGCCAACACTAAATGCTGGCGAGGATATGAAGCAGCCAGAACTCTCAAGCATTGCTGGTGGGAATGCAAAATGGTAAAGCCACTTAGGATGACAGTTTGGCAGTTTCTTATAGAACTAAACATCCTGTTACCATAGGATCCAGCAATTGTCCTCCTTGGTATTTACTCCAAAAAAGTTGAAAACTTTTCCACATGAAACCTGCACACAGATATTTATAGCAGTTTTATTCATAATTGCCAAAACTTGGAATCAACCAAGATGTCCTTCAGTGGGTGGATAGCTACATATACAGTGGTACATCCAGACAACAGAATAGTTTTCAGCACCAAAGAGAGATGAGCTATCAAGCCATGAGAAGGCATGGACGAATATTACTAGGTGGAAAAAGACAAGTCTATGTGATTGGCCACATCTGTATGAGTCCAACTATATGACATTCTGGAACAGACAAAATTACGGAAATAATAAAAAGTCCTGGTTGTCAGGGAAGGAGGGGTGACTAGGTTGAGCACATGAGATTGTGTGTCTGATAGTTGGTACTAAAAACTAGGTTAACTTCTAAAGCATTCAACTTCCTATTATGATTTTGAATCAATAAAACTGTAGGACCTGCCATGGTTGGAATCCCATTGCCACCTGTGCCTCAAGGCGATGCCGAGACTCCCTGAACTAATGAAAGCTTTATTTTGTTTTGTTTTGTTTTAGTTGTTTGTTTGTTTGTTTTGTTTTGTTTTTAGTATAGTTATCCAGGAAATTACTCAGTTTCCAACTAATCTCACTTGGGCACTTGACTTTATAGAGCAAACTGGCCCTGTTTAAAAATCTTGGCTCCTGAGATATAGAAGCAACCCAAGTGCTCATCCATAGAAGAGTGGATAAAAAGTGATGGTACATATATAGAATGGAATATTACTCAGCCATATAAAGGAATGAAATCTCACTATTTGTGACAGCATGGATGGACCTAAAGCAGTGGTTCTCAACCTGTGGGTCGAGACCCCTTTGGGGGTCGAACAACCCTTTCACAGGGGTCGCCTAAGACCATCGGAAAACACATATATAATTACATACTGTTTTTGTGATTCATCACTATGCTTTAATTATGTTCAATTTGTAACAATGAAAAGACATCCTGCATATCAGATATTTACATTACGATTCATAACAGTAGCAAAATTACAGTGATGAAGTAGCAACGAAAATAATTTTATGGTTGGGGGGGTCACCATAACATGAGGAACTGTATTAAAGGGTCGCAGCATTAGGAAGGTTGAGAACCACTGACCTAGAGGGTGTCAGGCTAAGTGATAAGTTAGTCGAAGTCAGTTACCACATGATTTCATTTATACGCGGGATCTAAAGAACAAAATAAACTAACACACTAAACAGAAACAGACGCAGAGAACAAACTGCTGGTTTGCCAGAGGGGAGGAGGGCTGGGGGGCTGACTGGGTGAAAAGGCGAAGGGATTACGATGTACAAATTAGTAATTACAAAATAGTCACTGCGATGTAAAGTACAGCATTGGGAATACAGTCAGTACTATTGTAATAACTGTGCATAATGCCAGGTGGATAATGGCAATAGTGGGGGGATCACCTTGTAAAGTATGACTGTCTACCCACACCGTTGTACACCTGAAATTAATATAAAGTAATATTGAATGCCAACTGTAATTGAAAAATTTAACAAAAAAAGTCTTGGCTCCTGAAATCCAAACGAAGTGGATTCTTTTAAAAGGAAGCTTTATTTGGGGGGATCACCAAGGCTCAACAAGTCCTTCGGGGCAGAACCCCTCTGGACAGGGAAGCATCACAGACCGCAAGGCGGGGGGACGTCCCTGCCCCTGAGCCCCACCGGGCTCCCCGACGCCACCCCGACACCGTTCACCCCCGCGCGGCCCGGCCCGCCCCGAGCCCGGCCCGGCAGGCGCCTCCTGGGCGGAGCGCGGGCGGAGGGCCAGCCGCACCCCGCCGCCGCCGCGAGCCCCGACCTGCCCGCGGCCCCGGCGGCGCAGTCTCGCGGGATCGCTCAGCTCTCGCTCCCCGTGCGGCTCCCGGGCGGCTGCAGTCGCCGCCGACACCCCGGGCCGCCTCCGGTCGCGGCTGGACGGCGGGCTGCACGGGGACGGGGGGAGAGCCGCCGGGGAGCGTGGCCCGAGGTGAGGCGCCGTGGGCTCCCGACGGCCGGGCGGCCCCGAGGGTGCGGGGCGGGCGGGGGCGCGCGGAGCCGCAGGTGCGGGACGGCGGCGGCGGGACGCGCGGTGGGGGCGCCCCGGCCGAAGTTCCGCGGAAGCCGGGCCGCTCCTGAAAGGCGGTGCGGGGGTGCGGGGGTGCGGGGCCCCCGCGGGCCGGGCCGGGCGCTGTGGCCGCCGCAGGCCCGGGCAGGTGCCGGGTGCGCGGGGGGACCCCGCCCGCGCTGGGAGCCGGGGCGGGGCGTGCGTCCGGGTGGGGGCGCGGCCGTGGGTGAGTCAGCGCCCGGAGCCGCCCTCCGGGCCAGGTCGGCCTGCTTCCCTGTCGGGGGGAACCCCGCTCCCCCGGCTGTAGGTGGGGGTCCTGCAGGTCTCCCCTTTCTCAGACCGGAAGGGATCGGCTCCCGGAACACTGCCCCGAGACGGGCCCTTGGGAGAAGGTGAAACCCCTTCGGGCTTCAAGATTGTCCGGGGACCCAGTTCTCCCGTAGTCAGCTGTCCAGCGGGGCCCTTGGATTGAAATCCCTTGGGCTTCATTGTTGTTCCGTGCGTCCTTTGCAAGAGATCCCGACGCCCCGCGTTACTTTCTTCTCCATCTCACTCGCCCCCGCCCCCCGCGCACCCCGTGCCCCCCGCGCACCCCGTGATCCCCGCAGCACAGACCGCGTGTGGTCGCGGTTCCCTGGAGAAGCGACTTCCTCCGCGGGTGGGAGAGTGTCTGTAAAGGACGGAATTTTCCGTGGTTTCCCAGTGGTCGGTGCCTTCCTGCCCTCGGGGAGAGCCCTTAGCTCTGTCTGCACTTGGACGTCGGCATTTGAGTGTATGACCGATGTCCCTGATACTCCCTCTCGTTTTGTTTGTTTGTTTTGTTTTTGTAGTAATTGACTCGGAACTCATTTCCAGGAGAGGAGCTGCTTTCAACATGGCCAAATAACGCAGTGAGGCATTTGAACGCTTTATCTTCGGACGGAAATCGGAGCGTGAGAAGAGCGATGAGCCCACGCCAGGCGGTGGAAGCGGGGATCTGAAGAGGATGGGAAAGTGTACGATGCTGTGGCTGTGCGTTCTCCTGCCCCTCGCGAGGGGGCACAGCCTCTTCACCTGTGAGCCAGTGACGGTGCCCAGGTGCACGAAGATGGCCTACAACATGACGTTTTTCCCCAATCTGATGGGCCATTACGATCAGAGCACTGCTGCTGTGAAAATGGAGGTGGGTCGTTCTTGGTACCTTTATAGGAAAGTCGTTTATTGCTCTGTCCTGGAATAAACTATGACGGCGACTCTTTTTTTTTTTTTTTTTTAAGACAATAAGGGATTCTTTCAGTTGTGTACAAGTCATAGTTGGAAGAAATCCTTTTGAAGATTAAATTACGCTATGGATGTATGTTTTGTGTACTTGCTTAATATGGGGTTCGTTTGATGTAAAGTAGAGTTATGAATGATTTAGAAATGTCTTGCACCCGGCAAATATTTTGCTTTTCCGAATCAGTTATGGTAGTTCCGCTAATAATGTGAATTCTGAATTTTTCCTAATTCATTGAATATGCAATCTATATTGTCTGGACTACATATGTTTTCTTTTCTGTTATTTTTAATTTATTGATGTTAGAGAGAGAGAGAGAGAGAGATCGATGTGTTGTTCTACTTACTTATGCATTCATTGGTTGATTCTTGGACGTGCCCTGACTGGTGATTGAACCCGCACCCTTGGCATATCAGGGCTTAGAGTACATATATTTTCATAAGTAGTTGTATTGTTCACGTGGCACCGTTTTCTGAAGCAGATCGATAATTGGAAGATTTTGGGGCTGTAGATAGTGTTTTGCTAAAAAAAAAAAAAAAAAGTGGCTTTTTTACGGCACTGAAATATTCTTTGTAAGATACTTTTTAAAAGAAACCACATGTCAGGGGCGGAGCAGAGTGATACTAAAGGTCGCCTGAGGTGCCTCAGTTACCTGCGTTTGGCTTAGAGGTTGCTGCGGAGGTGTGGGAAGCAAGAGGTACCTATACAGACAGGGACCTACCCTCCCGTGCAGATCTGTTAGGTTGATAAGTCTCATGAAGGAAAGACGACAAGTGTTCCTGTAGTTTTTCTCCAGAAACACTTTCCAAGGATGGTAAGCGCTTCTTTTCCCCTTACATTGTTGCTAAGGGGTGAAACCCCTATAATTTTAAAGTAGACACTACTTTAAAAACTGACCAAACTTGATTTTACAGCTTCAAAAGTCTTCCATTGTTGGTTAGTTGAATAGTTGTTGCACTACCTCATTGTAGACTCAGGTCTGAAATAGGAGGGCTGTTAAATACCAGCGTCGATGTGCTTTACATGGGCATTACAGATGGTTACTATTGCAGTCTTTCAGTGGTCTTTCCACCAGTGCGAGATGTGATTTTAAACACCGAGCAAATGATGCAGTGAGACTTTCATTGATTAATCAGAACTATTTTGATGGCTTAATCTGATTAAAGTAAAGTGTGTAGTGGAGACAACTTCAAGGAATAGTTATGTCATTCATTCACAGTTTCTCTGAGGAGAGTACATGTTTTGTAACTCATGTCTTATAAAGTTCTTAAAATTTTTAAAAACCTGGTTCTCTTTCTGTGTAGTAGCTACATACATTTTAAGTTTGAATGCTAACCATCAGCCATATAAATATAGACCATTTAGAATTCCTAAGGGAGAGAAGCATCCTGCTAATAATAATAAATACCTGTAATTCTAAGATAATAAGAATTAGCTTCTGTTCAACACATCCTTTTAAAATCAATTATTTTTGCGGTAAAAAATAGAAAAGTGTTGTTTGTTTGTTTATTTTACTTACCTAGCTTCTTTTCCAGGTAATTTTGTGTCTGGACATTATCAAGAAGGCATGTTTTGTTCTTACTTCCTTTATTTGAGGATATCTTCATTATATAATCTTCCTTGTGCACTAAGCTTCCTCATAGTCTTTGCTATTAAATTTTATTACACAAATCATACTTTAGTAGGTTTAGGACATAAAAGAAGAAAACCATACAGCATTAACTTAAGCTGACAAAGAAGAAAGGGAAATGGGAAGGCAAACTGTCAACCCGAGTCTAACTTTAAATCTCTATATATGATTTTTTCGGTCCATGGTACTGTACCTTTCTTATTGCTCATCCTTATTTGTCCTCAGCCAGTGGCATTCTCTTCTAGTTCCTGTATTGAATTTCCAAAATTCTATAATTTGAAAGTTGTAAGTTAACTGTAGATATCATGCAGAGTTTCTTAACCTCTTTTGTGCTGTTGATCCCCTCTCAGAATAAGAGAAGTTTTAAAATTTAAATAAAATGAGTAGGGTTACAAAGGGAAACAATTATATTGAAATATACTTCTGGTTATAGGCCAGGTTAAGAACAACTGAATCCTTCATTGTGTAGGTGAAGAAACTGAAGCCCAAAGAAGTTATAGTGTTCAAGGTCTGAGCACTATATGACACTGTCTTCTCTGTCAACATGGACCATAATGGCATCTTTAACCTTTTTTTAACCCTTGATCATGACAAAAAATAAAATATCTTCTAAGATTCAGAATATGATATGTTATTCTTTGCTGCTGCTTTGCAAATTTCATTTAGATAAACATTAAACTGGGAAGCATTTTTTTAAACCTTTGGCTCTACCTCCCCCCTCCCCCATCTGTGTGTTAAATACAAAGCCTTACTAGAATTTTTACCTGTAAACCAATTTTTAAAAATTGATTTTAGAGAGAGGAAGAGAGACACCAGTCAGTTGCCTCCTGCATGAGCCCCTATCAGGGATCTAACCCACAATCTGGGCGTATGGCCTGATTGGAAACTGAATCCACCACCTCTTGGTGTATGGGATGACACTCCAATCAACTGAGTCACACCGATCAGGGCTAGTTAGAATTTTTAGATCAAAAATAAAATCTTTAGCCTTCAGTCACTCCTCTCTGTGGTACTAAAGTGATTTTACTAAAATGTAAATTCACACAATCTCCTTTGGGGTTACATTCCTCACTATTTCCCTGAAGCTGGAGAAATAAAGACCTGACTCTAGAGTGGCTCTTCTTGTCTCTCATCTTATCCCTTCCATTGTATACTCTCTACTTCAGCCAAGCTATCCTATTTATAGAACTCATCCACATTATTCTCGTTCACTTCTGTACCTTTGTACATAGTATTGTATCCACTGCCTCTCTTCACCTGCTTGGTTTCCTCAGATCTGAATTAAAGCAAGAACTGTGCTTAGTGAAGCCTTCTTCCACCTTTCTCCCAAACTTATTTAATCAGCTCACTCTTCACACTCTAATCATGTTTAATACAGGTTGGGGAAGGTAAGGTTACAGTTGTTCATAGGGAAAATAATACAATAATTAATAAATAATAATACAAGAATAAACTCTGTTTTGCATATTCACAACTGTAAACCTAATTTTGCCCCACCCCATATATAAGACTGTTCTCATACTTACCATGCTGTGTTGCAATTACTTAAATGGCTCTCTCACTAGATTGAAGCTTGTTGAGAGTAGAGATGATATTTATTCATTTCTAACCCTAATGCCCAATACAGTGCCTCTGAGCATGGTAGATGCTCAATAAAGCCTGAATAAAGAAAAAGGTGGTGTTTCCTGTGCTAATAAATCAGCAAAGAGAATTTCCCCCCAAATCTTTACCTTCCACCTTTATCTTCTGCAATGTCTATGTAAAACACATTCTAATATTTTTAAGTGGTTTATGTATCATCCACTTTCAGCCTGAGCCTAGTTCTCATAAAATATATGAATTGACATCTTCTGTATTCTTTCCCATGTTAGCTTGACACATGGGTGTTAGAATTTATTTTAAAAATTTTATTTTTAACCATTTGCATTTATATGGAGTGAAGGAATTCATCTTTTGATTGGACCATTGTATTATAAACTATATGTGTCCTGTTTTTTCCCCAAACATTGCATTTTAATACTTATTTGTAGTCCAGACAGCTATTAAATTATTAACTGCATTTATCTTGACTTTTAAAGTGTTTTATGGCTTTTCTAAAGAATAGGTGGGTTTTACACGTCCAGCCCAACTGCCTTTGGTTCCTCCTGGTTCCTGCTGCATTTCCAGTGTTCACTAGGAATCAATATTAGGATGAGGGGCTGAAGAAATATCCGATGTTGGGCTCGCTTAGCTTTCAGGAATTTCATATAATTCTAGATCTATCTCACTCCTTTTATGCCTCAGTTTTCATTTTGTATGATGGCTGCCCCGTTTTATAGACCTTATAGTCGTTATAGTCACTGCAAGTCTGTGATTATATGAGATGGTTTAGAACAGTGGTTCTCAAAGTTTAGTTCATAGACCAGCAACCTGTGAACTTGTTAGAAATGCAAGCTCATGGACCCCATCCCAGCCTACTGAATCATGACCTATGAAGATAGAGCCAAGAAACTGTATTTTAACAAGCTGTGCAGGTGTTTCTTATGGATGTTAAATTTTGAGATCTGGTTTGGAGCAGGAAATGCAAACTTTCTGTAAAGATCCAAATAATAAAAAATATTTTGGCTCTGCGAGCCTTACAGTCTCTGTCACAGCTATTCAACTCTGCAACTGTAGTAGAAAGCAGCCATAGACAATATGTAAACAAATGAGTATAGATGTATTTCAGTAAAATTTTATTTACAAAAACAGACAGTTTTTTTTGGTCCACAGTCTATGGTTTGCTGAACCCTGTTTTGAAGTACTTAAAAGTACTATAAAGTACCATAAGGATAAAGTACTATAAGGATTATACATGTATAGCATGTATAAATAAACATCATTATGCATTCTTGTTAATATGTTACCTGAGTTATGTGTTATTTACTTTACACATAAATTTTAAGTCAAATTTATCAGAAACGAAAGGCTTTCACTGGGATATCCTGTTTTTTTTTAGTTTTATTTCAGAGATTGCTTGAAATCAAGGACTTTGTTTTTCCCCCCTTGTTTTGTTTATTGAAGCTAAATTCATTTGTATTACAAAGAGTTAATTTATAATTCTGAATAGTAACTTGGCTTCTTAAAAAGGATGTTGTACAGTCTAATTCTCCCAGGTGGAAAAACAAATGGCTGCTGGTTTTCCATTGTGTTCCTCTTTGTTTCATATCTAGAGCATTGTTTCTGAAATTGTTAGGTTGATGTCCCTTGAGAGACTGATTTCATCCGAAGAGAGCTGAGGCTGAGCTAGGGAAAATGG